AATTTTACTTATATCATCTTTTAAAAGATACACAGCTCAGATTCAGAGTGAAGACAAACTAGAAAACAAATCATGTTTAATCCCCATAATCTGAAATAGTGTGTAATCCAATTAATTACATTTAAATCCCAGTTCCTCTCCATGATTGTTTAATCCTGGGAATTAAAATAGATTTCTCTGTAATGTTGCTCTTCTGGAGTTCTTATTGTTTGTGATTCTGGTCCGTCCTGAAGTCGAGTCCAGACCTGCTGACTTCTGACTTCACTATGTGGCTCTGCAGGTTTTCTGTGTGTTCGTGTTTCCGAGCTGTGACGCACACACAGGTTTAACCGCAGATTAAACTCTGTGATAACAAACACACACAACTCCTGACAGAGACTCACAAAGTTTCTTCACCACACACAGGGAATAAAGATGTCGTCCGGCTGCAGTGCAGATCATAAACCTCCTCCATGTTAGCAGATGGGACCAAACTAAATCGAAGTGGAGCTTAAATAGTTATTTGATGATATAAAAACGGGCGGAGACGTCATGATTGACAGCTGAGACCAATGGCAGCGCTCATATCTGAGATATTTCAATTGATTCTTGATCTGTAGGAGAAAGTGGTGACGTGTCGTCCATCTTTATTTTGCGTAAAGATAAAAGTAAAGTCATCGACTTTATTTGCAACATGATCAAAGTCAATTGTGGCTTCAAATGTTTTTATTGTTAAGAATCTACGTCCACATCTGAATTTAACGGATTCATATTCCATCTCTCCTGCAGACGAATGAGATCCGAGACTCTGATCCTCTCAGCCTCAGTTAGTGTGTGGTGTTGGTTTGGTTCTGGAGCAGTTTAGTAAAACTCGCTGGTGATCGGACTGTTTCCCTCAGGTGATGTTTCCACCTGCAGACGGACGACGTCTCTGTTTGTTGTTCAAACAATCTGAACTTCAGTTGGTTCCTGAAATGTCCATCAGGAGTGTGCGAGCGTGACACACGACACCAACTCCAAACTTTTGAATGTGCACAAAGAAAACTGGGCGTACACAGAGGGTGTGGTGACTTCACTTGATCCATTGTGAGCACAGAGCTCGTGGCCTTAAAAGACATTTGTCACATTCAGTCTTCGTGCAGAACTTCAGAGAATCCGACTTTTTAAATTCAACGTAAACACAACGTTTCCGTCAGTGTTTCCTTTTTCCAGGAAACGTTTCATCTACAACTGAAACACAAATGAAACTGATGATTGTTGTATTTTCATTATCAAATAATTTTCTCTTGAATCATTTGGTCTCTAAAATCAAAACGGTTGAACAACACCTCTCGAATATTTAAAGTTATTACGAACAAACTACGAAAAAGTCTTCATTTGTTTGTAAATAACGTTCATGTGAAGAGAATGTCCGGACCAGAGCTCCGATGTAAAAACCTGTGTGAATCACAAACATCAGGTTTTTCTCGACGACCCCTCACATTCGTGTCCACGACACTTCAAACTCGGAGACGCACAACAAACACACCTCGTGTGTTGTGTCAACATTTCCCGCTCACACACGGGTTAACACTACAACGTTACGCAGGACGCATGTTACACACAGAATCAAGTTGGTTTTCCAGTTTCAGCTGTTTTCTCCACCAGATGTCGCCAAAAACATGTTGCACAAAATAAATCTCTCTCTCGCTCCCTCTCTCTCTCTCTCTCTCT